ATGAGGCACTTAGGGACATGGTTTAGTGGGTGGTGGTGTTGGGTCGACGGTTGGACTCGATGATCTTAGAGGTCTTTTCCAACCTCAATGATTCTATGATTCTATGATTCTATGAAAAATGGGTTAGTAGAACCAGGGTTTTACTTCTTTTCTGCAAATACCCTGGGGACCTTAAGGATACTGGTCAAAACTAATAGGAACTCACAGGCTACTCTAGTATTCTCATTCCAGATTTTTTTTCTCTACACTTTCAAGGTCTCCAGAAAATGCTTACCGGGTTAGAAATAATACAGATCATGGCTTCTGGACAGTGCTTTGCACAGGCAGATGTCAAAGTAGCAACAATGCTAGCATTGGTGTTGAACAGGTCATCACGGGTCATACCTAAAACATACCCAGTACAATATTTTAAGTTATCCATAGTCTACTCATTAATGGGCAAGCAACTCGGATCAAAAAACAATACTCTGCTCTGGATAGAGATATGTCAGCTCCTGGTTTCATATATCAAGAGAAAACTCTCCAGCTGCAGTAATGAATTGGCTCCAAAGGCAACTCCTCTCACTAATAAAAGATTACTGCCCTTTCAGATAGATCAGCCCTCTTCAGGAGCAACCAGCCCAGCTGCCAGTTGTCGGAACGTATTTCACCTGGGCAGCTTGAAGCACCTACGGTATGACCACACCGACCCACACCAGTACACCAGTGCTGCTCCTAAGGCGAATTCTCCTCCCCCTCTGCAGTCACCTCCACAGCTACAGTTTGAATGCCAACTGCTCTGTGCAAAATATTGCTAGTTGCATAGGTGCCACCTCTCATTTCTGTTGCAGCAACTACTTTAACCATGAAAAGTAAAGAATTAGGAAGAACTAGGAATTAGAGTCTAGAGTTTTGTTACATTCCCAATAGGATACTGAAAAACAGTAGAAACGGAGTAGGTCAGAGACCTTCTAGGAAGGCTTAACAGCATTCAGAGATGCTCAGAGAAGTTATCATACAAGTAATGCAAAATAACTGGATTCTGTTCTGCTGAGAAATGAAACAAAGAACCAGTTTTCTACTACAGTATTGCTCTGGGCAAGAAACGCTAAGGGAGATTCAGGATCACTTGCATGAAAAGTCTTTGCACCTCACCCCTACATAGGAACTCCAGAAATCAATTCTCCCCATTTTAGGAGGGACAATCTAAGACAGAGGCTAAACCAGGTGCCTGATACCACAACAAGCTCTAGGTCAGCGTCATTAACAGACCACTTACATCCCAAGCCAACACTGAGCGCACCAGAAAGCGCCAGACACAGCTCTACTTGAATAACAGTACTGCAATGAAGCCCTGGGGCTTTTTAACAAAGAGAACGTACCTGGTTTTCTAGGGACTCCCGCAGGAATAACCACAACATCACAGCCCTTCAGACATTCTGGCAACTGCTCAGGTCCCAGGAAGCCTGGAATGGAAGACATTCAGGCATTATGTTTTTGCCAGTTATTAAATATCTGACACTTTGAAGTGCAAAATTACACCTAGAGGCACCCAAATCCTTTTTAATTTAGCCTTCAATTCAGGCTTACGCTGAAAAGCAAAGCAATACAATTATGGATGGACTCTCAGAAACCAGGGCAATGTTGTATGCTTGTTTCAAAACTTACAGAATGAGAGTGGTGGGAACCTCACATTCACCTGTTTTGAAAACCCTCAGTTCCTCCCGTTACGTGTATTTACTCTCCGAAAGACGCTAGCTGGGCACTACAGTCAGTGCCCCCAAAGAATTGCAGATAGGCACATTCACGTAACATGTCACCTCTTGGTGATCTTCAGAGAAAATGAAGATCAGATTAAGTTTTGATTTCATCAGAACTTGACAGCTGTCCCTTCAGAAAAGCAGCACACAGAATTTATATAGACACCCAGGGAGCGTTAAGTCTATTTGCAGTCAAACTTTTAAATTCGACGCTCAAGCTTTTTTCCAAGACGATTTTACTGAATGTCTCCTGCCCGTTATTACGAATTCCCCTTCAACAGTGCAACCATAGACCATTCTCATCTCCATACATATCAATCTAATCAGCTAAACCTTAATTAGTCATGCACAGCTTGAGGAAAAGCTACTTAAACCGGTATTAGGCTTCAGGATCGTGTGAAGATTCCCCTTCACAAGCACAGCAACGGGCATCTCCACGTGTCAGAGACACCCGAGAGGACCCCTTCAGAACACAGATCGTTTCCAGCGGCTCACAGTACCTTTAACGTTCGCTCTCGTCTCGATGTGGCTGAGGTCAGCTGCAACGCCCGGAGTGTGAGCGATATCATAAAGGCTGAGCCTGCTCACCAGCGGGCTGTTCTTCAGGAGAAGGGAGAGAGGCTGGCCAATGCCTCCCGAGGCCCCCAGCACTGCTACCTTGGCATTGTTCTGAGGAAAAAAGATGACAGACACGTTGTAGAGATGTTCTGGTAGTTACTGCAGCAGTGACCTTGGGATTTCACCACACTTTCTTTACTTTTAGTTCTATTTCTCAATTTTTTTATCAAGCACTATGCAAACCGGATTGCCTAATCCCCCAGAAAGCGATCATCACTACAGCCTCCCAAAGATCCTTGAGGTTTATCGGTAGGACAAGATAGAGGAAAACGTTCTTTTGCAACGTGAAGCTCCAAAGGGAAGCAAGGCTAGACAAAGTAACCAAAAGGATCATCTTTCTTCCAATGGAAACCTCTGCCTCAGGCTAATGCCCGCTACCCTGTGGACCTAGCTCTGACTTAGGGCAAAATCTGGTTTGCAGTTTTTCTAGTTTTCATCGCCAGTATCAAAAAAAAAATATGCCTTCCCACTTGGCAAATCAAGACATCTAATGGACTACAGTAAACGTAATAACCATTGTACACATGTGAAGAAAATGTATACGCCTGAAATAAACTCAAAATAGTACCTGCAGCTGCCTCAAGATTGAGGCCTGAGAACATTAAGTGACTATAATTTCCAGCTTTGGTCAAGCATGGCTGAGAAGCAAATAAAATCAACTCTGCTTTGTTGCCCTGGTGAACCAATTTTACTCTAATGTGCTCTCTAGAAGAAAGTTATTTCTCTCGAAAACGCCTGTGCTCCTGTTTGTCGAGAAAGCGTCACTAGATGAGAGGAAAGCTACTTTAAAAGACTAGAAAAATCTTAAAATGCAACACTGCCAAAGTGATGGAGAACCAGAGGCTGACGCAGAGATGTAACATGTTAACACAATTACCACTGACAAGGACATTTTCTGTCTCGCCGTCTTACCAGATAAAGCCATAATAGCTCCAAGTCCCCGCTCGAACAGCTTAATTATTATGCTATGACAAGAAATAATCTACCCAAAAGCTCGACCAGCCTAACCTCAGCTCAGTTTTTTCACTACTGCAACAAATGTAATTTAGCATAAAACTCTCCAAGGGGAAGCAAAGCCTAGCATTAGTCACTGCTATGCCCCATATTTATGACTGAGCTGATACCACGAGGTCAAAATCTCATTGCTAATAAATTTAATACCTATAAAAATAATTACACAAACCTCTCTTGTAAAGCGTATCTTTATAGCTGCGATAATCATTTTGTCATATGCTACCAGGAACTATTTACGTTAGAAGACAGAGGTCAGTCTCTATCTCCCTACCACGTAGAAGCGGTCCTCTCCTGGTATGAAGTCACGCACGATGGATTTCAGCATATTAAGGATTACTGTTAAACCCCCAACCGCCAGCTTTAATTCTTCGTACATTTTAAAAGCAGGGACATATTTCAGTAGAGGAAGGAAGCAGCAAGCAACATTGCTCATCATCCATTGCGTACTATCCGAAAGAGAAGTTCATCTGGAACTAGTAGTTTTGGCCAGCCAGCTTACGCCTGTCCGGGGAAAGGCACGAGCTCCCCGGCTAAGAGCCGCAGGGCGATGCCCAACGGCACGGACGTTGTACGGGGCAGAGAGACAGCATCAACCCAGCCCCCCGGCACCCCCCCCCCCCACCCCCCACGGACCCTGCCGCTCTGAGCTTGCCAGCCACCTCAGGGTGCCGACGTCTTTCCC